ATACATACATACATACATACATACATACATACCTACATACATTATATATACGTATATATATATATATATCATACATACATACATGCATGCAAACATACATACATACATACATACATACACACATACATACATACATAATATATATATATATATATAAGCAACATACCAGTAATGCTTCGAATACAATTTCGTCGGATGTAGCACCAACCAGTGCTTGGATGGTGTCTGTGACGGGGTTAGCCCATATGTTGGGGACTGTCTGTAACGCATATGCGCCGAGACACTGGCATAGTCGCGTGCGCACCTGTGAACGGCAACAAATAAGAACAACCTATCCATCAGACAAGAACAAAAAGGTACTTGCAGACACGGATAGAAGACGAGTGCATGCCCACGCGCAATTATATTCGTATCACCAAATGTGTATGTAGCGATGTGTTTGCGAGATGCTGACACGGTCGTGTGGGCATCTGGATATGAGCGCAAAGAAGATGAATTAAGACACGCATTAAATGGTGGAGGGGTCTACAAGAACATAAGACGTCTATTTGTGGTTTGCATGCCAAACATGCACATAAAATGTATGATATATATATATATATATATATATATATATGTGTGTGTGTGTGCGTATATATATATACATGTGCGTATATATATATATATATATGTCTGTGTATGTGCGCGCGCGCGCGCGCGTGTGTGTGTGTGTGTTAAGACACGCGTCTGAAATTACAATAAGCATGATATAGCCTGGTGGATTCTACAAGAGGAAGTCCATCGGAGTTTGCTTAAATGCTCGGTACAAAATCTCTCACGCTACACACTTACATTCACATATTTATATATACAAATATATACTATATAGCTACATATACCTAGATACACAAATACTATATACACATATACTATACAGATACATAAACACATATACATATATAATATACACATATATACTATACAGATATATAAACACATATACACGTATAATATATATATAACACAGAACCATATACATAAACAATATACACATATATACTAAACAGATACATTAACATATGAAATCATATAATATAGACATACCTACACACATATACACATAAAATATACACACATACAGTATACAGATGCATACACACAGCTGATGTGTACGTACCAGGGACTCGCCGCCGGCATTCCGTATGATGAAATCGATGATAAACATGCCCACATTCCCTCGCAAATGCTCGGGTATGTCACTCCTAGAGGAAGGTGATGAGATCACAGATGTGGATGAGAATAGTGATTCGTACTAATAGTATTAGCATTGATAATGTGAAAGGTATATAACGATAATAGTAGTAATAAGATAAGTTTCAACTACGCAGGTTAAGTAGCGAATATATACACAGACACTCGTAGCCAGGGGTAAATGTTGAGAGAAGTAGCTCGGACAAGTTAAACAACAAACACATACACAACCACTTATAATCAGTGTTAAACAGTTGAGTTCAATTTACCACAAAGGTTAAAAAACAAATGCATATACAGACACTCAAAGCCAGGATTAAAAGTTGAGTTAAATTACTCACTCACGTTAAAAACAAATATTTACACTTTCAGACAATGTATACGCGACCGGTACACACTTCGCAGCGACCATGGGCGGTCTGTATAGTACATGGGAGACACAAACACACATACACTCGGCTATGTACGCACAAGCAATATGTTATGTATACATACGTTGTTAAGATTTCGGCAGGTTGTCATATTATGCACCTGAGCTTCCTGCTATAATGCCTTGTAGTCAGCAACCTAACCCCGCAATCTCAAGCAAACAAAGGTGCTTGCGACAAATATACACAGATACCCTTGGTAATAGCAAGAGAGGTGCTAATACACTCCTGTGTGTACACATGCACATACATACCATCAAATGTAATAACAAGGGACCTATTAACACTCTCCTGTGTGTACACATACACATACATACCATCAAATGGTATAACAAGGGATGTACTAACACTCTCCTGTGTGTACACATGCACATACATACCATCAAATGTAATAAAATGTGACCTACTAACACTCTCCTGTGAGTACACATGCACATACATGCCATTAAATGTAATAACAAGGGACGTACTAACACTCTCCTGTGTGTACATATGCATATACATACCATCAAATGCAATACAAGGGATGTACTAGCACTTGCCTGTGTGTACACTTGTACATACATACCATGACTTGGTCAGCTTATTGTACAACGTCATTGCTCCATAGAACTTCACTTCGACCGGCTGCAGACGTATCAGTGTATTGCAAAGGACTATGAGTGATTATGTACGAGTCGATATTGCGGATACAACTGCATGGATATCAGTACATGGACATCAGTACTATTAAAAGGGCTATCAGCACATATATATATATATATATATATATGTATGTATGTTACACTCTCGACACACCTTGGTAGTCAACAGTAGTGCCCGCGGGATCTTCCATGCCTGCGGTTGCTGCTGTAGCTCTGTAAGCCATCGCTCTGCTGCCACTTTGTCCGTAGAGCCATACAATGAAGCTAATGCCTATCGAAATAAATAAAAATTCAAAATAGAAATATAAAACTAGTGAGAGATTGATGCTTATACGTACGTGCGAGTATATGCCCTTGACGCATAGGTTGGTACAAGATTGCCTCAACATATACAAATACATTTTTAGTATACACGTGAAGTCACCTCAGTGAACTGGTCAAGATATTACGTAGTATCCTACACTGATGTTAGGGTCTATGTCTGGTATAGCAGGATATGAAAGATATCAATAGACATGTCCCGGGGGATGCCTACTTATGCCAACATACAGGCACATATAATATAAAACAAAGAAAGAGGTTAAAAAGAAAGGTTTTAAACGTATACTGGTTAATATTCACAAATGCATGTTGTTGCCGCTGGACAGCTGCAAGTCATCGTTCAGCTGACATTCAGTTAGTGGTACTATAGAATGGAACCATAACAAATACGGTGATGACAGTAACAAATGTATTTACGTGAGAAGATAAATGAATTTGGGTATATGTATATCCACACACGTTTGGCCATACGAGCAAATATGCATAATAGGATATGATGAATGAATATAAATGTAAGAGTGTGTGCATATACGTGCATATAGCGGGTTATGTCTACAACTATATGAAATTATATATATATATATATATATATTTATATATATATATTATATGCACACATACTCACACAAACACAAACAGACACACATAAACACACAAACAAACAAACACGCACACACGCACACACACACACACACACATAAAAGAATATATATAGTGCGTG